CTACTCTCGCTCTTCTCCCTGTCCCTGCTAAGCTCCTGGCACCCTGGCCACGTCCACACCCTTACACAGCACGTCCGCAGGGCCTTTGTCCCAATTCCCCCTTTGCTCAGGATGGCCTTTCCTCTCTTTGCCTGAGAGAGTGTGCATTCAGCAGATCTCTGATCGAACATCTTTTTCTAACAGAAGCTCTCTCCGCCACCCATAGTAGATTAGGTCACCCTAATTTTCCCTCTTACAGGGCTACGGAGCTTTACTTCCTAGCATTTCATGGAGTTGTAAATTTTCTTGTATTTTAAAATATAAAAACCAGTATTTTTTTCACTTACCAGACTGTGAATTCCACAAAACAAGCAGATATTAGGGTTTTTTTTTCCCCTTTGCTCACTATTGTACCTTCAGTGCCAGCCACAGGGTAGATAGCAATAGATATTTACAGAACAGAGGAATAACTGAAGTGGAAGTTGTACTCATAATAAGCATGATTGAAGGAAAGACTAATGAAATCTGCCTAAAAAGTACCACGGACCAGGCGTATCACCCGCCCCCTGCCTTTCCTGCCTGGGTTTTGAGTATCAGATTAACGGGCGTGAACAAGTAGAGAAATGCCTTAAGAGTGTCAAGTGCTCCAGAGGAGGCCGTTCTGGTGTTGTTTTTTGTTTTTGGTACCGGGGATCGAACTCAGGACCCTGCGCTTGTGAGACAGGCAGCGGCACCACTGAGCTGAATCCCCGGCCCAGGAGGCCATGCTGGAGAATTTGTAGAAGATGTGCTGGAGAAGGGGAGACGCACTGGAGCTGACACGGTGGGCTTGAAGTCCACACTGTGCGTTTCATCGTGCTTGACTCTGGAGAAAGAAGGGCAGCACGTAGGCGATGCAGTTGGTGGACGTGAGGAATGTTACCGGGAACGGGGCTGTGCTGCTGTGAGGATGATGCAGCCCCACGCGTATTTCTTCAGGGTCACGGGGACCCGATGCAGAGGTCTCTTTGCAGTCTCCATGTAGGGAATAGTCAGCTTGCATTCATTTTATGGAGACTTGTGAGTCACCCAGCTGATCTCGTTTGCTTTGTTTCACTGACTGCCCAGACAGCTGGAGGCCAAGGTCATGGGCAGTCAGACATGTGTTTCACTGATGCCTCTTGTCTCCCTGCTCCTCCTCCTCTCTCCACTCTTTCTTGTCCCTTTCAGCCCCTTTGTTCTCTGTCTTCTTCCTTTCATCCGCCTCTCACCTTCCTTGTCTTTATTACCTCCTTTTCTTGTCCAGCCCCGTCCTTCTGCTTTCTCTCTTCTCTCTTTTTTCAAAGGATGTGGTGCTGTGTCCAGAGCTGTTTTGCTGGCCCGTGCTTGCTGCGCCCCTTCTGGGTTAAGCCAGTCTCCCCGGTCCCGGGGCTGGGTGTGGCAGCTCTCGCTCCCCCATCACTCCCCCTCCCCACTCTGCTTCTGCTCTGCCTGTTCCTGTGGCAGCCATCACAGCTTCCCACTTCTACCCAGCTGGCCCTTCCTTCAGTCCTGCCTTCCGCATGTGGCTCTTTCTGAACCACCCCTAATCACTTTGATTTTTCTCACACCCTGGTCAAACCTTCGCCTGTTGTGTTCTGGTAGACATTTGTCTGCACGCTGCCTAAACTGTTTAAAGGCCATGTTTGTTTTTGTTTCAAATAAAGCAAGGCAGGGACCAGGTGTGGCCTTTCTCCTCTGTCCCTTTGGTGCCTGCACATGCCTGGCTGTGAGGTGGTGGCTTCCTTGGCCAGAACATCTGGGACCGGACTGTCAGGCAGGGCAGATTCTCCTGCTTTGGTCTTCCAGGCAGAACAGTTTCAGTGAATAAATGAGTCCTTGTTGTTTATATTCTCTGTTGACTAACAACATTGCTTTTGTCAAAATTCCTAAAAAACCCAAGTATAATGCAGATGTGATTCATGGGGTATCATCTACAGCTTAGACTTTTACTGCTAAGGGATTGGGGAAACCACATTTGTCTTCAGGGTGGGTCATGAAAGAACTCAGTATTGACCGGAAAACAATAGCCTATTACAGATTTAGAGAGTGGAACTTTTCAGCTGGATACCCCACCCCACCCCCCGACCATCCAAGGTATCTACGAATCAGTGATAATATTGACTTGAAAACAATGGAGCATTAAAATTAGTTGGGAAATGCCTTACCTCTTTTTTACTTTCTTTTTTTTTTTTTTTTTTGTACCGGGGGTTTAAACCGGGTCCTTGTCTTTCGC